TGTACAAAATTACAACTAGATAGGAGGACTAAATGTTAGTATTCTATAGCACTGTAGGGTAAGTAGGGAAAACAGTAATTTATTGCATATTTTCAAAAAGCTAAAAGAGGATTTTGAATGTTCACAACCCCAAAAATGATAAATATTTGAGATGATGGATTTGCTAATTACCCTGTTTGATTATTATACAAATTACACACATATTGAAATATTACTTGGTGTCCTGCAAATAGGACAATTATTAGCTGTCAACTAAAAATAAAAGAGAAAAATAAGGTGTAGTATCAGGAAATTAGAGAGCTGGAAGTCTAGAAGATTAGGGCAAAACCTTTGTTGCAAGGACTGAACGAGATTATATATGTACAGGAGGGTGAGGTGGTGGAGCAGAGTGGCTTCCGGCTAGCCGGCCAGAGTTTAAATCATTACTCTGTCTCTTTTATTTATTTATTTATTTGAGATGGAGTCTCACTCTGTCACCCGGGCTCGAGGGCAGTGGCGCAATCTTGGCTCACTGCAACCTCCGCCCCTCGGGTTCAAACGATTCTCCTGCCTCAGCCTCCCAAGTAGCTGGGATTAAAGGCGTGTGCCACCATGCCCAGCTAATTTTTGTATTTTTAGTAGAGGTGGGATTTTGCCATGTTGGCTGAGCTGGTCTCGAACTCCTGTCCTCAGTTGATCCACCCACCTTGGCCTTCCAAAGTGGAACTACAGGTGTGAGAAACCACACCCGGCCACTCTGTCTCTTTTTGACTGTGTGACCCTGTCAAAGTTACTTATATTACCTGAATCTCAGTTTCTTCATTAGTGAGTTGTGCAGGTGAAATGAGATAATGGATGGAGATGGCTTTATACATAGTAAATACTCAGATGTTAGTTACTCATATTCATTATCATTTTTATTTTATTTTTAATTTTTCAACCTCAAATTCCCCAATTTAAAACTGCAACCCTCACTAGGCTCCATTCTTCTTTCCTATTGAATAAAATGACCATATTCATACTATATATCTTCTACTTATTTATCTTTTCATTTTTAACTTTCCACAGTAAAACATGGAAAAATATCCCTCTGTGATGACAGGGATATTTTTCTGTTTTGTTTACTACTGGGGAGTGCCCAGTGCCAGTAAACAGTAGGCAGTCACTAAATATTTATTGAATGAAAGAATATTGCTTCATAAAGTCCCTCGTGCACCAAAAGGGCGGCAAATTGTTCATTATGAAACAGCTGAAATGAGACTTGCCAGTGGGAACGATTTCCAGGGTGTGGCCAGAGGTGTGGAGTGCCGAGTAAAGTGGAGAGAAACCTGAGAAAGCTTGTTGGAGAAGAAATCAAGAGACTCTGGAGCCAGTGTGTGGGACAGGTCACACACATACACTCTATGTCACAGGATGATGTTGGGAAGTGAGGTGGCACAGAGGATAACATGCAAACTGCCAGCATCTCTAAGATAAATGCAGAGGACTGCTGTGCAGTCAGCTGTTAACAGCAACAAGGAGTGGAAGATCCTGAAATTATCAGACAGCTGCTTTCACGATCAGGGAGGTTTTGGAAGTAGCATTAGGGAGCTGGGGGAATCCAAACACGGCCTCCTAGTCCCATGATGAACAGTCCATGCAAGACTGAAGAGAGGTCTCCATGGAGAGTGCTATGGAAATGATGGCTCCCAATAGAGCCAGGATTTCATTAGGAAATGGGTGGGTAAGTTCAGCTGAGAGACTGAAATGTACAGAAGGGGACTGTTAGGAATGTGATGTTCCCAGTGGGAATGATGGGAGAAAGACCAGTGAACAGAAGCACAGAGCAGTCTAGAGATGAGCGTGTGTGAGATAGAAGAGGCTGTATAAGCAGATGATAGAGCTGATATTCCCACATGAGGCCACTGAAGAACTTCAGGTAGCAGGTTTTTTGTTTGTTCATTTTTCACCACCACATATAAGATGATTTTGAGTTAAAAAGCTAGCCAAGGAGAAGTGTAGCACATTTCTGAAAACATCTCTATGTTCAAACACTCTGGGGAATTGTTCAAACACCTAGCAGTCGTATCTTCTATTTAATATTTGTCATGGAAGTATCTTGCCCTCCCACCTCAGAATACTTGGTAGCTTCAATAGGATACAGTCTTTGAAGAATTTAAAAAGTTATTGCCATTTGCAACCTTTACTGTTTTATTCCCAACTTAAAATAAATTGAATTTTTATTATTAATTAATATTTCAGTGAAGCTGTTTAAAAAAGTAAAACATTCGGAAGAGCACTGGGTCTTGTTAATTAGAACCACTAATAGTTTTTTATCTCTATTATTAACTTAAATTTGGAAGTGTGAGGCACCTCATGTTATCTTCAAATAAACTCATATGCCAATGTTGATCACTTTATTGATTGGTTGGTCAGTAGCTCAAACATTGACTTAAGTGACAATGATGTTTAAAGCACTGTAAGAATAAAATGATGAATAAGACAGAGTAGGGTATTGAACACTGTAAAAACACTATTTAGAAGTCAATAAATAATAATTGAAAAGCTATTTGGAACTGATGGCCACTTTGACATGGGAATCTTTCTTCTTCTACAGCCCGGGAATGAAGAATTGAAGATAATGGTAATTAATATTAAGAGTAACAAATGTGGGTAAAACCAGAATGTCCTAGAAGAATATGTTAGAAATCCTACTCAATAAAACACAGTGAGGGAAAACGTTTTGAAGCGCAAAAATGTAGGTGTGGTCACTATTCTCAAGGTAAATTAAAATGTCACCATTTCTATATCGTTTCATCATCACAGCAGAATAAAAAAATTATTCTTGGTTTCACTAGCTAAAAATGCCCAAGTATTGAAAACAAATCTCCATTTAAAAAATATAGCCATTTTTGCTCAGATCGCAAGGCATCATTTTGTTTCTTCCAAGGCTTCCCTTGAAGTGCATTTGAATATACTTTTATCTGCATAAACATTTTTTAGTGAGAAAAACAGTGACACCTACATTCATGACATGGCTATTCACATACCCTTTCAAGAAGTCTCATTTATACTTAATCTTGAACAAAGTCCAAGATTAAGATAATACAGTACTAGAGATTCCAATTAATTTCTATTAAAACTCTTCTTGCATGACTTCTCTTGGCCCAAATTGAGATGCTTAAGGAATTTGAATCTAACTAATTAAAATGGCAACATTACCAACTTTAAATACCCAGAAATCTACTGACAAATATGTTTTCATAAAACATGATATGTTATTCCACACATTTATTAAATATTTATATTTGATTGAGAATATGTATTTTTAAAACAAACAAACTGACAATCAAAAATGTCTTTAGATTGGTTTCTTCAAAAAGGGTCTCTGTCTCTCAAAACAGACCCACAATAAAGTATAAACAAATAAGCCAGCATATACAGTAGCCAAAACAAACAACAAAAATCTGTCAGAGTTGGTTTCTTTTTTTTTTTTTTTTTGAGCCCCAGACAATCACGTGAGGGTTGGCAAAGTGCCTTGCTTAATTTCCTAGTTAAAAGAGGGTAAACTACATCATCTGCTGTGACCAGATGGAGCCAAAGTGCCTTTAAGTATACAAGTAGTGCTTTACTTCAGGATTACCACCCTATGCAACTGTAGGTTCTTTTGCAACATGCTGGTTAGTAAAAAAAATACTTGGGCACTTATTAATTTCATCTAATTCTAAAAGAAAGTTTAGGAGGTCACAAGTTGTGGACTTTGCATCTTGGTTATCACAAAATTAATTACCCAAGGCAATGAAGTCTTTGACTTCATGTACAGAAGATACATCCTCTACTGAAGACTGCTTTTTCACCTGTCCTTTACCCAAGCCAGTTCAAGAAATCAGAATGTTTGCAAAATTTGAAATCAGATTATCTTTCCTTCTACTACCCAAGCTACTTCTGGATAAGTTCTAGCTAAGAACTTCCATCTCTACGACTATCTTGCCAGCAAAATTCATTGTTGAGGGAAATTCACTTGTACAGTTGTATACAAACTATTATGTATATCAGCCATTCTAATTTTTAAAATTGCATGAAAACACATACTCAAGTTATAAAAATTCTATTTTGTTTTCATGAAACACAAAGACAAGTTCAATATTTAGATTCAATTCTAGAGTGCTTTTCGGCCAACTTTGGATCCTGGGATAAAGGTAGTAATTTTAAAATCCTAGAAAGCGGGGTCTTACGTGATAAATTTTTACGTGTAAAATGGCCCACAAATTAAGTTAAATTACTTAACTTCTCCCCCCACCATTAGTTTAAATGGCCCATTTAGTCAAATGGCCGGCCTGTTAAGATGATTTAGAACTTAAATATAAAACAGAAGAATGCTTATCCTTAATGCAGAATATAATGAATGATCAAACCTCGAGGTTAGATATTTGACATTATATTTAAGTATATTTTCGTTAATCTTCTAAGATGGCAAGTGCAGCAATAGTTGTCCAGTTTACTGCAGTCAGGAGATGCAGATCAAACTTAGTATTATACTCTTTCTTTCTTTTCCCAGTTTTTCTCATCTCTTATACAGCATTCCTTGTCATAAGAATGTATTTACATATTTAGATTTTTTAGTGGAGGTTGCATCTGAAATATTAATTATCCAAAACAAGTTAAATGCCAATACCAACCAAAAATGTCATATTTGTTGCACTGCATTTGCAAGAGTTAGGAAAGAGCCCTGGTTGACAGAGTTAAGTTCCTTGGCCAAAAAAGGTGTGTTTTGTTTTGTTTTCAATTGACCATAGTTAATTAAATAACCAATATTAACTGCAAATTAGCTTTAATTTTTTCAATGTGAAAAATTGAAGATCATATACTAACCAAATTCATGTAGTATTTCCTTTAGTGTTTAACATTTTCTAAGTAGCCATAGCATTTTCATATGGAACGTGAGACCAGAACTTTTCAAGAGAACTGGGATTTGGAAATGCAGATGAGGAAATAAGGATGGGGAGTATAGATTAGAATCTGGTATGCTATGCACTACTTACCTTCAAAAGTCAAATAAAACTTTCCTCTGTCAAACCAAACGAGGGAAGGCTGTTCATTCTCTGTATGGCCAGGAGTTGAAGCGGGATGGGAAGGGTTAAGGAGAGGGAGAGAGAAGGACACAATGTGAGTTACAGAGCAGGTCATTAATCTCACTATAGGGAAGGGTGGAGGCACTACATGCCATTAGCGTGCAGGAAAAAGGGAAGGCTGGCAATCTATGCATTTTTTTTCTTTTTTTTTTTTAGTTCAGGAAACAAAAAGCCAAAGCAAAGCTATGGAGGCCTAAAGGAATGGGCACGTATTGGTGGTCACTTGATACTTGGTGCTTGTGGGCATGGAGTGGAAGTCTTCCTGGCCATGCAGGGGCGTCAGCATATTTTAACTGCACTAATTTGGGCAAACTGTCATTCAACAATGGTTGTATCCATGTCATCTTCAATGTCATCCCCTTCTATGTTTCCAGAAAGATAAACTCAGAGTTACTTATTGTAGAAAACATTAGCTTAGGTTTTAAATGATAAAGCATTGCATGTCAATACAAATTTCAGGGAAGATGTCACATATCTTCCATCCCCTCCCCTGGAATCACCTTAGGCATCCAGACACAAAACACCCTTTACCTATGTACCAGAGAGAAAACAAGATTACTAATGATGCTCTATTATTTTTAAAATTAAAAAGCACTGACCGGACATGTAATTCTGAGCAGTTAAATGGTTCCTTCCTCTGTAAAGTCACAAAGCAATAGCATCTCACCTTTTTCTTTTGAAACTCTTCACTGAGAAACTGTCATGCAACCTGCCGCTTTTTAATACAGTCATTTAAAAAATTCTAGTGGCATGGGTTCTACAATGAACAGTAAATATACAGGGTGCATCTGAGAGGCACTGGACACACATGAGGTGAGGAGCATGTCCATGAAGTTTATAGCATTCAGATGGATAATGGCTTGGATTTTTGAAATCTAGGTCTATAGAGGTCTCTTGGCTGGCACCATACCTGCAGGCGTTTCACAGCGCCTTTCAAACGAGGGCAGTTTGTCATAAAAAACATCATCTTCTGACACTACGAACCAAAGAAACATAAACGAATGGAAAACAAAAACACAAATACAAATCCCAAATGAAATCAAGAAGCCCACTCTACTGATTGGAACACAGGAATGATTTTAATGGAAAAAGGAAACAAAATTTAAAACACTGGAATTATGATTACCTTGTTAAAATGTGTTTTGCTTATTTTGTGATGATTCTATGAGAGGAAATTAAAATGTTAAAAAATGCCAGGGTTTAGCATCTGTGAATTTGTCTGAAGTCAGCTTCAGGGAAGAAGTCACGCCCCACCTTCTCAGGGAGTTGCTAAAGGAATTGTCATTAATAATTGACTTATGCAAGTGTGTTTCACTCCAACACAATTCTCAAGTGGTCAGACATATGTCCATCAACAAGAATCACCTGACAGAGCCCTGACAGCTCAGTAGGATCACTCAGCATGAACCTTCCCCCCATGGGAAAGTTGATGCTTTCAACGTTACCATAAAAAAGCAACAGTATAAATCCAAGGTCTCTGCATGAATTATCCCATTTCAGCCTCATCAAGATCCAAATTCAATTTGCCTTGCACCTGATAGTCACAGACTGTTAATTCTGAACAGCATTATCATAACATCATCTTTGTCTATGACATCCAGCTGTGGCTAAATGTCTTTGTAAGTTGGTCACAAAAGAATGAGTTGGTGCTTTAGACTTTAACTGATTTAGCTCTTTTTTAAGGTCTCTCTTCTCAGCAACTAACAAACGCAAGTAATTGGGATTTTGACTCCATGTGATTTTAAAAAACTGCTCAGTGCCACAGGTCTTATGCATAATATTACAATTTTAATAGAAAATTGAATAAAATTTGTACAAAGACCAGTAAGAAAGAAAAATGCTGGGAAGGAAATGGATTAGGGTAGAAAAAAACATTCCACAAATAATAATGTTCCTTGAAAAACACTCTATTAGTTTGACTCCATATTTACAGTTTAATGATAATGTTCCTCATTATCTCTATTGTTATCTCTGTATCTTGAAATGTCTAGTAGCTTGTTTCTTAGAATAACTTTAAGCAATTTCCCTATCCCTATAATACTAATAGGATTTCCCCCCAAATCATGTAGTAGCAGTCCTGTGAGCTTTTATTAGTGCAAAAGAACTTACTGTTCTTCATTGATTCTTTTTATTTATCTATTATTTTTAAAAATTGAGATGAGGATTTTGCTGTGTTGCCCAGGCTGGTCTTGAACTCCTGAGCTCAAGTAATCCTCCCATCTCAGCTGGGATTACCACCACACACCACCAAGCCTGGCTCATTCATTCTAAACTGCGCTTTTTCACATTCTAACCTGTCTAAAATAATTAATGAAATAAAAAAAGCATTTTATGTTAGCTCAGCTGGCAGTTTCCCCCACTTTCTTAGTCATATACAAAATAATGGTGCATTTTTCAATCGAGGGTGTCTTTAAACCAGTAAAAGGCAGTTGTATAGGAGCTCTTCCTTATTCGAGTGTGACAACACACAACAAGTCCTGTTTTTAGGTGTAGCATCAGATTTGCTATTGTGTAATCACAGCCATCATGAGAAATTTCATATCCAAAGTCATGTAGGGGCAATTTTCTTATATGAATTGCTGTATGGAAGGTTTAGACTTGCTCTTAAAACTTTAGTTTTTGAATTACTTTAAATTTGCTCCAATTTTGGCTCAAGTACCATAGGAAACGTCAAAAAAAGTATTGTGGTAGGAGGGAAATGTTGAGCTATCAACTTCAGAGAATTTGCTGCTGAAATTCTCTATCTCCCTCACACCATTTGCCTACATTAAGTTGACATTCCAAATCAGTCATGATTAGGCCCTTTGGCGCTGGACAGCCAAAGTGCATCCTCTCCGGACAGAAAGAGCAGTGCACAGCAAGCCTCAGGATAGTCAGTCTCCACAATATATTTACTTAAGAAAAAAGTGGCTGTCAGGTGACCCACAGCAGGTGAAGACAGAGCAGAAGGGTGAGGAATTCAACAGGATGATGAACACCAAAGAAATGTAATGAAACCAAATAAAATCAGTATGCTCCTCAATAATGAAGCAACGTGACTATCCTCTTACACGGCTATTTAAAAAAAAAAAAATCCACTTTGGTCCATCTTGAAAGAACCCATACTAGATGTGTTAAGAATCAAAGTTTCCGGCCAGGATTTGAGATTTCTGTAGTAGAGAGTATAGAAACACATTGTACAAAATGTGTACAAAGTTCAATTCTTTGTGTGTACTATTTTCACTAGGAACCACAGTGCATTGAAAGAACATGTTACAGGTTTATCTGAGGTCACTTGGGAATCAGCTTTCTGAGTGACAGTTTACTCTTACTTTCTTTTCTGACCAACAAGGTAAATCACATGAAGTAGGTGAAACAACTAATCTTGAAAAAGAGTGGCAGTGTGGGGAATGGCTTGTAGCAATCGAGGAGTGTTAAAGAGATAGAGTTTTAAAAAAGTTACAGAAAAATACAAACAAACAAACAAAACAAAAGGGAAATGAGTTACTAGGCATTGGAAGGTAGGAGGCCCCAGACTGCCCCAATTGATGCTGCAGACAGAAACAAACCTGGCTACATAAATAATGTCAAATATCTGTCTGTTACTAATTCACATGAAGCTAGATAACTGGCTATATTTTCACCAAACTTGAAAGGTTCTTCTGGGAGGATCTGATTAAAGATATAAAGCATGTGATATAGTTGAAATTCTCTTTGGGGGCCTTAAGAGGCACACCTTAACTTATATTTCTGTGAAAACAGGCAGTTCTTTCTCTGGAAGAGCTTCAGGCTTCGACCAACCTACTCTCACAGGTTGTGCAGTGAGAAGGCAACTGTGCAGTCTGTTCTTCCAAGAGCAGCAGAAGGAATTTATTTAGCTTTAGTTAATGATTCTCCCAAGCAATGTGGGATGGGCCAGGTGGTTTACACTATGGAAGAGCCGGAGGGGAGTTCCGACAATAAAGGAAGACCATGGGGAATGGGGATTCCATGGGAAAAATGGAATGGGAAAGCCCTAGGTGGGAGACATGGTGCAAAAGTGAGAGAGGCAGCAGGAACCTGTCTCCTGCTGGGAGGTGGAAAAGAGAGGGACCAGCTTTGGAAAGGGGGATGACACTCCAGGCAAAATAAAGCATTGATAACTTGGAAAACCATCTGGCTGAACAGCCATTCTCAACACTTTCATCACAGCATAAGGAAAGAGGCACAAAAGCATTTACTGAAAATGCCGTCAACTACTTATTTCTCTAGGAAAATTGACCACACATCACCGAAAAGCACTAGAAAAGAATGTTGAAAAGTTTGCTGAAGTCTCACAATGCCAGTGTTTATACCATTTGTCAACATAAGGACAACCAAAAATGATGAAGAAATGAAAGCTTCAAGAAAATACAAGTTCTAAATTTTGTGATTTCTGATGTGGTACATGGTTGGAACTTAAATAACATTTCCCCTCAAAGGAGACTTTTTGTTTTAATAAATGATCTCTAAATTACAAGACCTTCCTTGGTGATTTCTTCTTTATTTTTTTGAATAGCTCTGTAAGGAACACCATAAGAACATTCCTGCAAAATACAGGTGTTAATGTTCTTGTATTTGTTTATTTGCCTAGGTAAAACACTTTGCCTCCTTTGCTGAGAAGGTGGTTTTAAAAGAAGTCAGGTGATAGTAGCAAAACACACAGCAAAACAATTTCAACCAGAAACACAGGGCCTTGGGGATTTCAGATCATAAAAAATAGCCAGTCAAAACCACAAACAGATTAAAAGAGAGGAGAGAATTTTTACCAACTGTGGGAGTAGTTGCTGCGCTCAAGGAATTGGTTGACGATATTGAAGAAGTGCTTTCAGCCCGCGCTAAGGGTGCTATTGGAGGAGGGCTGGAAGAATGAATGGGAGGGCTAAAAGGTCTGGACTGTAGGGAGAAGAAAAGAGATGAAAAGTTAGATAAACAGGTTGCAGTATTTTTGTTTTATATTTTTAATGTCTCCCAGCCCCAGATATAACAACTTCGGTTTTTAAAAAGTAGGTGACACCATTTTTACACTGAAATTAATTATATCTATATGAGAGTTTGTGGATTGGAGAATTTGTGGAGTTTGCTGGAGAAACCATAAACTATAACATGCTAAACTGTAAACCATAACATGCTAAACCTGAGCTTAGGGAAGCTGGGGTCTGTGACATGATCAGCGGGTCTGTTTCAGGACTGAACTCACATGCCCTCAGGGACTCAGCAGGTGACACAGAGTGAGAGCTCATACTCATCTAAAGCTCACAAAATACAAAAATACCGCAATGTGCTCGTCCAGCCAAATATTATGGATGTCATTAGTTTGCGGCTCCTATATGCAAATGCCAAAGAAATCTACCTCTCCCTCAAGTCTCTCCTAATCGTTCGCACAGAATGTTTTCCACTCCTCAGCTGTAAACACAGAATATTTTCCTCTCCTCAGCCTTAAAACGCAATGCAAGAAACTTTCGCAACAAATTCCTCATGCCACTGTTCCTTCGTTGTATATTCACTTAGTGTGCATACTATCACTAAGTCATCTGTATTTTGGGATCAGAAGCCAGGATTCACCCTCTCTTGGAGTTTTCTAACAGCAGGCAAATATTGTAAAACACCTGTCTTTCTAAAGCATTTAGTGCAATTGAATATTATTATTGGCATTTGCATCTAACCCACTGTAGCAGAGGTGAGGGCCCAAGCATCCTATTCCTATCATTTTAGACCTTGGCTTGAAGATGGTAGAAATTTGGGGAGGGTTGAAATGTACACTCATACCACAGTGACTGTCTTTCAGATACCACCTGTCAGGGTTGTTTGTGTAAGTCCTCTAAACACTTAGACCTGAAGGCATTTGGAGCTTCTGTTTGTCATTCTCACCGTTTCTGAGCAAGCCAGGGCAGAGGGGAACATACCACATCTCCAACTCCAGGCTTTCCTGGAGGTAGCTTTGGTCGGGATGGAGGCCGGGGAGGGGGTGGAGGTGGAGTGGTACTGCTGCAAGGAACCAAAGGAGTGGCTGGTCGAGCAGGGGATGATGCACCTGAAAAACAAGCTAGTATTAAAAATGGCTGGAAACACAGGGGGTCGAAGGGCTGTTATCACAGTACAATGCCAGTTCCAGACACTTAAAAAATTTTTTTTTTTGCCTTGGGAGTTACTACACTAAATACTGTAGCACTTTTTTTTTTACTCTTTTTTTTTCTTAATAAAGAAAAAAAATTTACTCCGTTCATCTATGGTTGATGGCAGAAGCTCATTGCCTTTCGTTGCCATGTGACACCCAGTGAAAGGTAAATCCTTTTATTGCTCTATGACAGAAGGTAAAGTCTTAAGACTCTTGGCTGCGTGGTAGGTACCTTTCATTACCATCACATACACACTAAACACGCAACAAATTCTCTTGCATTTTGCAGGTATTTGGAATTTGTTTATGTCCGAGATGATAATGGGAGATTAGAACATGAAGGAAGATGAATGATTTTTCCACTTTTGGTTTTTCTTCTTTAAACGTGATAAGAGAATTATGCTTTTGACTGTGGTCAAATTATGAGAGCCAACTTTATCAACGTACCCAAACACTGGAGGGTAAGCAAAAGACAAAATATAAGAAAATAAATTAGATGTTGCATGAATACTTTGTATATAGAATCTTAATAGAAATGCATTGAATTTAGAGGATCTTATTTTGCGAAGGAGGCTGCTTAGGAATCTGTCAAGGCGGAGTTTGCCCATAATGATTTTTGGAAGAGCCTCTTGGATTTACTTTTCTGGCTGTCAATGACAAGCGTATGAAACACAGAAGACACACAGAGGCTGGCATGCACATCAGTCAGCACACCAGTGGGGTCTCTGGATTCAGGAATCTGCCTAACTTCAGCCATATGTCTGAGATACACAGGGAAACTGGACTGCAAACCTTAAAAAAAAGTCAAACCAATGTTCAAACAGTTCTTGTTTAGTAAAGTTCTGACTACTCCTGAGGTTTTTCTCACTTCTGTTAGAAGCAGAGGTATCAAATCATCCCAAGAAAATTCTAAGAAATCCTGCCCTGGGAGAATATCCACACATCATCCCCCACATCTGCCGCCCCCTTGCTGCCTCCAAAACAACACACCACAAAAACTGGGACCTCTGGAGAGTTTTTAGATTAGCATCTCAGTCTCCAAATTTTCAGACTCTCAAGAGCTTTAAAGTTAAGCAGCAAAACCTATCATTTCAGAAATCTTCTCTGTTTTAGGAGAGTCCCTGCGGGATTAAACCTTGCTCCTCTTGTTCAAATAATCTGAAATCCTGAGTGTATTTCTCTGTGCTGTTTACTCTGTGTGTAATCACATTAGTATGAAATCCTACCAATTATTTCTTCCACTCCCTCTCTATCTCCACCTTCCTCTACTACTACCACCCATATTCTTACATTTTATTCTCCACTGGGTCAGGGTCTATGCTAAGCACTTTATATATATTATCTTATCCCCTTGATAAACTTTGGAGGTAGGTGTTATTAGGTATCTATGCGGAATCTGAAGATCAGAGATTCAGTAACTTGTCCAAGGGCACATAGCTCAAACTGTGTATGTACCTCCAAAGCCCATGCTCTTAAATGCAATCTCTCATAGCTTGAGATGGACTGTGGTGTAGACTCCCACATTTTGCATAAAGTTTGTTCTTACTTTTGCTTGGCTTGCACATCTCTCTTTCAATATAGATGTTTTTAGCCTTTTGCTAATCTTCTCTTAAAAATAAATGGTATGTTTTGACAGGCCCCACTACAAAGTTTTCTTTTGATTATTGTGTTAGTAGAGTTACACCCAGGATGTTTTCAGAAGACAGAAGTAACAGCATAGAGTAAATAAATCTTTAAACAGTGAAGTCTTAGGACATTTTTATTTTTGGTGGTGATGGAGGAGGAGTTGTTCTATTTAGCTTCATGAAAACAATACCATAGGAATGGTCCAGAATGTCTATATGTAGGTCTGTTTCCAAAAAATAGTCTTTTGAATCAGTCTCAAAAAAAAATGCCAGCTGTTTATTCTTTTCCTACATGTTCCAGAAAAAAATTTTAAAACTCCTTTCAGTGATGCCTGGGAAAGTACTAAGGAGCCGTCATCAAGGCAATGTGGAAACTGAAAACACTGGATGATGTGAGAGCTGGTCTTGCTGGCCTGAAACCTCAGCTTCCTTGTTTTAAAAAGTGTGACACTGTTTCTACCTTGCAAGGTATTTGTAACAAATAAAATTGAAAATGCTTTTGAAAATATTGACTATATAAAATTTTACACAAATAGAAAGTAATAGATACTGGTGATGATGATGAAGATTGTGTTTTTTGATACAAATACAACTAAAAAGTTAAAAAAGTTGTTAATTGAAAATTGTTTTCCTTTATGGATCACCCATCAAAATCACTTTTTCTGTACTGAATTGAAGTAATAATTGATTTGTTGTGCAGCTAGAAAGACACTAAGAGAGAGTGTCTAAGAAGCAAAAGGATATTTCAGTTAAAACCCTGCTTGACCAAACCCTGAGGCTCAGCAGAGGATGTTCAGGGCCTGAGGAGTATTTCACAACTGAACTAAGACTTCACATACTTTTGTGAAATTACCCAATTGTTTCATATTTTAAGAATGTAGATGGCTGTCCTTGTGCATCTTTATCCTCACTCTTCAATTTTCAGTTGCATTTTCATTTCCCCCTTAAAGAGTGTTTATTTCCAGAACCATGCTGGAAAATGACTTGGACAGCACCACTCTTTAAGGTTTAAATTAAAAAACCAAAATACATTGAATTTTGTGAGTTAAAAAAGGTTGGCAACCATTGACATGCTCTCAATCCATTTGTTGTTCTCAACCTGGTTTAATCAATTTCCTTGGTAACCTCCAAAGACCGCATATCTACAGCTGCAACTTTCATCCCTTTTTTTAAATGTGTGTGTTGGGCTGGAGCAGTGGAAGCATGTGGGAGAAGTGGTCAAGGTACAGCCAGTGGAATCCAACAGATCAGAGGGGCCAGCTCTGGGCTCTGCAACTTACTAGCTTTATGACCACAGCTAAGTTACATTTTTGAGCTCGTTTCCTTATCCACAAATGAGGTTAATAGACCATGCTGTTGCTGGGAGAATCAAGTGAATTAAAACATATGCACTTTGAGATATGTGAAGAGCTAAACAACCTTTCCCACATTGTGTTTCTTAGAACATAATTATACCATTTCTTTGAAAAAAACTATTAAATATGTATGTAAATGATTATATGCTGTGTTTCTCTTTTTGATGACTAACACATTAAAAGCCCTAAAACATTACTAATAGAGCTTTCTGCCATGTGAAAACGTTCTAGAACTGTTAGTAGATTTGCTAGCCACTTGAATTGTGGCTACTCTATGTAAAGAATGGACTTTTTATAGTAATGTTGAGCAATTAAGGGTATAATTAAAATAACCCCATGTGGCAAGGGACTACTGGATTGGACATCACTGCTCTGAAAGGCTCGTAGTTACAAAATATATTTGGTTAATTTAACCCCAGGTGGCTCAGACTCATTTGTTTATTGACTTGTATGTTTGCATATAACATCTTTAGTTTCCCAAGCTGGAAAATGTTGCACTCAACATTCTTTACTCACTCCTTTCTTTCCCTGGCCCCCAAACATGGTGCAAGCCAACAAAACTCTTTCCCCCTGACCTCTGGCACGCAACCCACATAAGAGAAGAGATAGACTTTGCCAAGAACCAGTGTCTGCATTCTAGTTAAGTACTGTTCTGGCCAAAATAGGTATTTATAACTTTTTGCCATAAGGAAATTGAAGTTCTTGGAGCAAATTCTCAACTTCCAACTGCTTTTCAATAGCAGGTAACTCTTCTGGTTCACAAAGTTGTCAGTACTGTCTATACTTGGTCAGTGACAGTCACCTTGCTGTGAATACAATTTTAAAAATGAGTGCATAGTGGTATATAATTAAATATGCTTTGAGAAGTACAAGAAATTTAGTTTCATCAGGCCTAATGCTATAAAAAGCAAATAGTGAGAAGTATTGCTAATCTTTAAAACATGAGGCCATAACCTATTGTATCAATCTCAAATTTATATTTCTGCCAGCTTCTGTATGTTCTATCAATGAAAGATTAAGCAGCAAATAAACTGGGACTTAATTAAGGAGATAACGCTGCAGAGTTTTATTTATTCATGGGCTTCAGTGACCCAGTTCAATCTTCGACTTAGAAATCCAATCTTTTAATACTAGTAAAGTCAAGCTATTTCCAGCTCAATTATTAAGTATCAAGTCTTTACTGGTATCATTTTAAAATAATTTCAAATAAGGACATGGAAGCTAAACATTAAAAATCACAACAAAACTCTCAAATTTTCCAGAAAGAAAACAAAAGTTCCTTTCTTCCTAATTAGATAAGTGGTAAATTCAATTGAACAAGTATCTTCGAGAGCTTTATGAAAGGTGTTAGATGAAACACAGATGAATTACCAAAGCCACTTGTCCTCCCTACTCCTGGCTAAAAGTGTTTCATTTGAGAGCACTGTGGCCTACCTGTGGAGGGAGGTGGGTATTCTTTAAATGTTCTTTCAGAAGACTGAGGGCCTGGATTAGTAGAGCTACATAGAAAACAGAAGTACAGACCCCTCTTTTACAATGGACAACTAATGTCTTTCTGGGTGTGTGTTTGGAGGCTTTACATAGTGATTCTTTATTATCTTTACAGATGGATAAGGAGCTTTGTATCCCATAAAAGACCTAAAAAAAAAATAGAGGGATGAAGATGGATGCTGTAACCCTCTAGAATTAGGGAGAGGAGCACAGAGGAGTACATTTTGAGAGAAGACATTCGGTGATCTTGTTGATGATATTGTGCAGTGCAGACAGTTCTCAGTAGTCAAATAAGTTTGGAATATTTATGAATAAACCTTACTAAAGTGCCTGGAGAGCACACAGGCTCTGGATCAGACAGACCTGAGTATGAATCCAGTCCACTGCCTCCAGCTTGTAAATTTGGGCAAATTACTTGACATCTCTGAGTCTCAGTTTTCCCCATCCGTAAAATGGGAAAAATAACAATATCTACCACATGGTGTTGTTGTATGAAATAATGTACAAAAAGCATTTAGGCCAAAATGCAGATAGGGCTGAGTGCAGTGGCTCACGCCTGTAATCCCAGCATTTTCGGAGTATGAGGCAGGTGGATCACTTGAGGCCAGGAGTTTGAGACCAGCCTGGCCAAGACGGTGAAACCCTGTCTCTACTGAAAATATAAAAAAATTAGCCAGGCATGGTGGCACGCACTTGTAATTCCAGCTGCTAGGGAGGATAAGGCAGGAGAATCACTTGAACTCAGGAGACAGAGGTTACAGTAAGCCAACATGGTACCACTGCATTCCAGTCTGGGTATCAGAGCGACTCTCTGTCTAAAAACAAAGCAAAACAAAGCAAACAAACAGCATGGTGCCCAGGACAAGAAACTATAGTTTCTATTATTTGCAAAGTAAAGACTCCCAAAGGTCTTACGGTAAAAATACTTGGTGATTTTGAATAGTTTTCCTTTTGCGGGGATGAGGACCTGGGGGCATACACACCTAATGATAAAAAACATTGGTTTTGAGTGCAGTACTGGTGAGTGCCTAGCCCTCTTCTTGACCACCATGGATGCTCTCACTTTAAGCACAGAAGCATTTGTAAGCACAGAACAAATTCTGAAAGACCTCATTGAAAGAAGCAGTGATGATGACCCAATAGTAGAATTTCTCTCTCTTACTAGATTTAAGTACCTTGTACTTTACTGCCTCTTTCACATCAAATGCAAACCAAATACGTGGCACCCCCCCGAAGGTCCCTAAACTGAACTCACATGCACAGGAAGGAAAGCACTGGGGTATGTTGTCAGACAAATTTGGGCAACAGTGGAATAAATGATATGGGGGAAGATGCATTTGAAAATCTTGACATTGCTTTGGTGTGCATGGCAGGTGATCCATGCTTTCATTATTAAAAAACACAAAATGAAGCTTCAAATAAGGAAAAACAATAAAATTCAATGTCAGAGTCAGCAGACTCCATCACCTGTCATCACACTTAGAGTTGACCTCATAGCCTGATGAGTGTGTCAAATGGTGAGAACACAGAACAAGTTTGTCTTCAGTGAAAGCTTGATTAGATTAGGGTTGCAGTATATGTATCCTTTTTTTCTTTTTTCTTTTCCTAAAATATCCTTTTTAAACCTGACATCTTTTCTTCTAAAGAAATCCGAGGGGTTAACACAGTTCTCCCACAACCAAAAAAAAAAAAAAAAAGAAAAGAAAAGAAAAAAAAAAGAATCCCATTCACCCTCTCCTGCCCACCTACATATACACACAATACACTGACCCACAAAACCTAGTGTCCTTGTGGAGGCATCCAACAAGGAAATCAGACATTTAACATGAAACCCACTCTCTGTGAAATCTGTCTTCCTAGGACTTTCCTGAATTCCAAACAATGGCATGACAGCTTTGTTTTAGAGATCAAGACCTCCTAAATGCAGGGTGGATGGCAGGGCACACCTAAGGGCTGGGAGTACACGGCAGAACACATCCACAGACTTGGACCACGACTGTGAGCATCTGATGAACTACAACATGCTGTGGGGCCACAGGGCACCCAGACCAGAGGCGTGAGGGTTGAAGCTCTGAAGCCAGCTGCCAGGCAGGAGGAGGGTGTTGCTCACACTGCAGCAGCCATGGCCATTCCCCGTCACACAAAGCACACTCAAGCATAAGACATACCACTGGTGGTCCCCGTACCAGGGCCTGAGCCAGGTCCGGGGGACGAAACCACAGTCCTGTAGGTGGGTGGTGGTGGGGGAGGTGGAGTTGCTCTCTGTCCCAACCCAAAATCTTTAGGAGATGAGATTGTTTCTAAGTAATCATCTTTAATGAAGGTCTGCTCAGCGACTTTCTTCTGGACTTCTTCTAAATTGAGCGGTGATGGTACATTGCGAGGAGGCCCAGGAGGCCCTGGGGGGCCTGTGGGACCTGGGTGGCCAGGAGGGCCTGGAGCTGGGGAGTCAGCTGGGTTGTCTGGTGTAGCTGGTGGGGACACCACTTTTTCCCTTGGAGTCAACTCCGGAGTCACATGTTCCGGGGACGTATCAGAAAAATGGACCCACTTTTCTTCAGCATTAACAGCAACAGACTTGGGGGACAATACTGGGCCAAAAATGCTGTCCAAGTCATTGATGGATGGTAGTTTTTCAATTTTGACCTCTGTGGCTGACTGGTCATTTCCTGTGGTTAAAGTAGTTGATTTTAAACTTTAATTGACTTATTTGTGTGGGGAGTGAGGGAGGGAGGCAAAGATTGGAAAATACATTGCTGTGTGAGGTGCCTCAGTGGGCATACTTCATGATGTAAAGATATCTTTATTGGATTAGGAGCTGAAGGTGAGGGGAGAGATCTCCCACTCCATAAAGTGAGCATCATATTTTTATGCTATTATTTACTCTTTTTTGCAAGCTGAGCACAGCTAGCTACTTTTACCGTCATTGAAAGTGCTGTGCGTAATACTGCTCTCAAAGGCTGCCCACAGGTGAACACAGTGTGAACATTTTGACAAGACAGTGTTAGATTCACAGAGAAGTACAGGCTCCGGGACTGTAAATTCCAAAAGCAAGATCCCTCCTGAAAATCTGGCCTACTGAAATACACATCACACAATGTAAAAAGAATTGAGAAGTGAAAGTCGCCCTCATGTTTTATAAAGATTGTCTACTCTAGTATCCTAAATGAAGACATTGGCGAAACTGATTATAATATCCATTAATTAAAAAAAGGTCACATCATATTTAGCTGTATATCCTTAACCTTAAAAACACCAGAAACACAGTACAAAGATTAAGAAGTTATCACCATAAAGATACAAATACAGATATATACACCTCATACACAACACACACAGATTATTGAGGAGGCATTTGCTACTTGTTAGAACTGTTACATATCTACCTGCTTAATAGGGAAGAAAATACTTTGAAAAATTTTAATAGTTTCTTTTCTCATTAAGTCTGACCTGTCAACATCATAGGCATAACTGATATTTAGTTATAGGATATCATGATACTGAAAAGTCTCTGTTTTCCTAAAATCGCATAAGCTATTATTTTTAATTCATAGCAATAAGAGAAAAAATTAAAAACTATCTTCTACAGCTCTATATGAAGAAATGCACTTTTTTAAAAACTGAGGTTATTCACATTAGAAATTGTTACCTAAATAACTGAAAAGCAAGAGCAGAAGTCACTTTACCTTTATATAACTCTTGAACTAGATGACCTATCTTAGTATTTCCGTATTTCTGATTTAAAAGGAATTAACTTTCAAGGTTCCAAGGCTACAGATAAACGGGGAAGCATTTTGCATGGTCTGCAATATTTACAATCTTGTGCTAGTAGGTGTATTTATATCCAACACAATTTGTGGAAATACAAGGGGCCAAAATGGCTTGAACCTGAAAATATCTTTACTTATGAAGCTCTGGATGACTCTCTATTGGGTTTGAGTCAATATAAATTTCATAAATGACTACATCCTGCTTTGGCTTTTGTTGATGAATGCCCACTCTGCAGCTATCAAACTCACCAGGCTGCATAAATAGCAAAGGATGAAGCTGCAATAGAATTCCAAAAGTGATAAAGAACCACATTCTAAGGGCCCAGGCACATAAAACAGCTATTACTACTTTTGATTTGCCAGTCCAGTAAGACTTGGCAGGCTATAAATTGTGTGAATACATAGTATTGATTTTAATAGATGATGAAGGTGTGCCTTAAGCATTATCTGTCTACAGGCAAGTAGCAATTCCTTGCCATATTTCATAATCTTTACATAGCTCTTTACCATGGGGTAATAAACACTGGAATGACCACTGGAAAAATAATTTCCCCACCACCATTATGCTGCACACCCTGGGAACCATTTAATGTCTTCATAGACTAGATAGTTTTAGTCTTAGGAAATTGTCTTGATAAAATACCAATTGTGCTTTAAGACTATGAATTTGTAACTCATTAAAATGAGATCCAAAGAAGTGAGGGGTTAATTAAACAATGACTTTTCATATTGAGATATTTTCCTTTCATTTTATAAAATGGCTCTCATTCAACATTATACCAAGGAAAAATTTAATTGAGAAATTATTACTAATTCTTTTGTGTGTGAAACCTGGCAGTGATGCTTTAAAATAAGTCTGCATAAGAAATTCTAATGGAAGCAAAACTAAATGGTGACACTGTAATGTTTTAGTGTAGCCTACAGTTTTCAGCACATCAAGGGCATGTTTGCCTGGGTCACTGCTCTATTTGACACATCATCCCAGAACTGAAAAAACAAAAGCTTACCTGGTCCAATTGTTAAGGGGGATCCTGTTCGGGGTGGGGTAGCTGGTACGTTTTTTGGAGGCAGTGGCGGAGGTGCTGCAAAGAGATGAGAAACCAAGTATCATTGATCATGTTCTTCCTAAGTTATACAATACACTTTAAATAAGCAGGATTCGGGCTTTCAGTTATATTCCTGCTATTGGAAATGGAATAGCAATTAGTGGTCTATATAGATTTTAGTTCAAAGAACTGAAGCAGAACCCATTCAGATTCTTCCGTTTTATGAAAACAAGAGATCAAAAGAATATCAGACAATAATATCACCATTTTATTCACTTAGATATGATTCAACACACAAACCTCAAGCCACAACTAAGTCCTGCCCCTGTACTAGGAACTAGGGTCATAGGGTTGGATAAAAATAGCCTCTGCCCTCAAGGGATTCTTCACTGACTGAAGGAAATCATGTTAGCTGACAGTAACACTCGAGGGTTTAATCATGGAAATAACAGATTGGGTGGGGCTCCTGTGAAAGGTTCTTAATCCAGTCAGGATTGACTGCCTGGATGAAGTCCAGAAAGATTTCTCAAAATCATATTTCTTAAATTTTAGTACGTTTTTAAAAGTTAGAAGCAAAGTGACCCTCCTTGGGTCAAGGAGGAATGGACAGATTCCTTCGATAAAAATTCAGCCAAAACAAGTATCATGGCCCCTACCAAGAGATTCACCCTTCTGAGCTGGATTGTCATGTTGTGGGCAAAGTTTGGAATTACTGTTTCAATGGGTTCATTTCTTCTTCCTCTTTCTTTAAGAGTATGTTTTCTTGTCACTGGCCCTATTTGGTAGATTCAAAGCATTCACATAAATGTCATAGGCCATCCCAAAGTTTAGTTGTGAATCTGAATGCTGTCCAATTTCTCACAACCTAAATGTAGAGGGTGGCAGGTGGGCACATGGCTGGAGAGTGCCTGCTGGTACCTTCCACCTGCCTAAATTAGGAAGAATCTTATTCTGTCATTCCTCCCTCCTCCTCCCCTTCCCATACTTTATTTATTATTTTTAGGCAGCATCCTGTTTTTCCACACAGTAAGTATGACTAACAACACTCATCCTAAAGCCTAGGAATATGTGGTTCTTAATCTCAGTGACGAGCTTCTGAAAACTACACCTCTAGTGGATCATATTTTCCCATAGAAGTTAAGAGTCAATCAGGGGTTCTGCTCCTAATTAAGGATCTCCGCCAAAAATCAAGGTTATAATCAACAAAATACAATAAAAACAAATAAAATACTATAAAAGCCTAATAATATAAAACAGAAAACATATGCTGCAACTGCAAAATGAGCAGAATGACACAATGCATATCAACCAAACAACAGCCTCTGCTGTGCTAAGTGTAACCACCGCACATAAGACTCACAACTCTGAAATACCAACAGTTAAAACCAATACATCACCTCCATAAACAATTCATTTACTCTCTTGACATTTACGAAAGGGTTTACCAGGAATCACTTGGATAGCTCAGGTCTGTAATGAAAGGTTTTCACGGAAGTTACAGCTTTTTCACTGGTTTTGTTTTGCAGGGAAAGACATTCAAAATCATGCCACAAAATCATGGCTTAAATATTTTAAAAATACATATTTTAAAGTTAGAAGTTTTAAAAAATTGTTGATAATGATGTTTTTCCTATCCTGTTTAATGAGGGACATATCTTTGGAAAGACTAGATCACATGGCTTTATAGCAATATTATTTCCAACAAATAACCTCTTGGACTTTGAATTAACCCCTTGGTTAATTCTCATGATCATATTTAGGCACCAAGAAGCAAAGCTCTGGAGATGCTGAACTGGAAAAAGTATAAGTTGGTCTGTATGTGAGCCCAAAGGGTGAAAATACCCTCTGCATCTCCCTCCTTCCCAAAACGCCTTTTTTTGAAATCCAATTCTTCAAAGAGTGCCTTCCACAGACATGCTTCAGAGGCAGTCTACTGAAAAGGGAATTCAATACATCTGTAAGAAGGGTGGCTTTACCTGATGAACAATCCACTCAGTCTAAATAGTGAACCCACCACCTGTGAAGGGCTATCTAGATTTTCAGGACCTCCTTCCTCAGCCACCTGGGCCATGCTGAAGAAGCCAGGCTAATGGCAACTTTCACATAAATATACCCTGATCTAGTGTCTCCGTTTCTCTATACCATATAGCCTCATTTCTCTTGTTCCCTAATTGTCACTCTTTCCTACCAATGTGTCCTTTCTGTCCTGTGCAGCGTCAGTTGTTCTATAGGATGAGCAGACACCATATCAAACTTGTTCACCTCTGTGATGTATGATAAGCCTAATGCCTGGAACGCAGTAGGTTATTTAGCCCACTTGCTTCTTATTCTTACATATATACAATGAGTAAATATATACATTAATAAATTCATTCATTTATTCATTGTATATATATATGTACAATATAAATATGCAATATATATTTATTCATTGTATATATGTAAGAATAAGAAGCAAGTGGGCTAAATAACCTACTGTGTTCATATGTACAATGAATGAATGAATAAGCACGTGGGCTTTCAGATATATACATATTCTTACACATATACAATGAATGAATGAATAAGCACGTGGAATTTCAGAAAAGGCTATGATTCAAGGTTAATAATTTGCTTTGTTGTATTATTTTCCTTTTGTCTTTATAACCTGCCCTGAGCTCTTTAACTTGAAAGCCTGTGAGAATAACATCTCTTCTTAATATTACTCAGTTCTAAGGTTGCTTATGTAGACCTTCTAAGAGTTGCCTAATTTCACTATGCAGACAGACAGTAAAATGAGTCACTTATTTTTCCAGACAGAGCAGACACATAACTTACTTCCAGTGGGAAAAGGCCTTGTTAACTTTGGCGACTCCATGCTTGGATTAAGTGGTTGGCCTGAACCCCATATCTCAGGTTGATCTAAAAGAACTGGAAACAAAAAAGAAAATGTCCCAGGGTGAGTTAAAAAAAATCCCCATACTTTAGAACTTAAAATTTCAAGTTGAGCTTTACTAAATTATTTTCCTCTTATCTCAGTACTAACAACTTAATTTAGGAATGTGCCTCTCCTTATTCGTTTCAAGCAGAGAATAGAAATAGGAGTGTGGTGTGAGTGTGGGTGGGAAGAGTGTCTGTGTGTGTACATATAGCTACATAAAAACTTTCAGAGCAGAATCTGCATTTTCTTTCTGGGTGGTCACTTAAGGACATTCTGAGTATCAGTAGATGTGCTGGCTCTGTCTCAGGTGCCCATTTGAAAATCCAGACATTAACCCCATGGACACTTGTTTTGTTGTAAGTTGGTTTATTTAAAGTCTCCTATGAATATGCTTCAAAACTGAAAATGCCTGGGTTCTGTGCAGTGGTTCCTACCCTTGAAGGGTTCTACAGGGTCTTTAAATAAACCTTTTACAGCATCATAAAAAGGAATTAAATTATTCTAAAAATGCTTAGTGAATATGTTAAGAGAGCCAGAAAAATAAGTAGTTAGACACCTAACATAGGACAATTAGGTTTTGGGTCTAAGGACACTAAGTTTAATATTTCTTCTCCTTCTTTTTTCTTCCTGTTCAGATTTTTAAAACAGCTATGGCAATGTAAATAGTTAGTGCTTCTCAGCACCTCTCCTGTGGCAGGGATTATACAAGTGATGCTGTAATTCATCATGTCGTCTAGGACAGGCTGGGAAGTCAGTTGGATGGGGTTTGAATCTATCCTCTGCACTGACTATAGGACCGCCGCAAGTTACTTAACCTCTCTGTGCTGCCTTCCTTCAGTTTAAAGTGGAGATAATAAAAGCGACCTTAGAGAATTATGAGGAGGATTAATGGAGGAAAGGTATATTAATATAGTGCATGTAAAATGTATGTAAAACATGTATCAGAAGGCCAGTAGCTATTATTATTTATTTGAATACTCACAACTCCACCATGTGGTTGATACCAGTTCCACTTGTGGGAGAGGAAACTGATGACTGGAGTGGTTGAATGAGGTGTCCACGGTAAAAGCAGAAGAGCTAAGATCTGATGCAGGCATACCTAACTCTAAAATACACATTTTTTTCCCTAGGCCATTTCAATTAGTGATAGAAAAATGTTTCTGGGCCAGGCATGGTGGCGCATAGCTGTAATCCCAACATTTGGGGAGGCTGAGGTGGGAGGATTGCTTGAGTTGAGGAGTTCAAGACCAGCTGAGCAACATGGTGAAACCCAGTGTCTACAAAATATACAAAAATTAGTCAGGTGGGGTGGCATGCCCCCGTGGTCCCAGCTACTTGGGGGCTGAAGCTGGAGGATCACTGTGGGAGGTCGAGGCTGCAGTGAGCTAAGAACTTGCCACTGCAATCCAGCCTGGGTGACAGAGTGAGATCCTGTCTCAAAAAAAAAATAAGCATGAAAATAAAAAATCAATCTAAAGAAGAATGAGTAGGCACAAAAGGGAAGTGTGGTTATTGAAAGAGGTAGTGTGACTGGTACAAACGCAGGAACTTTACAGGACTTCGGGGGATGAAGTCATTTAAAGAGTAGTTGAGTCCACGATAACGGACAGGTCCAGGTATGTATCTCCTCTCTATCACAAACCTCCAAGAAGGTCTTCGCTCTGTTTTAACATGAAAGCAGACATTCTCCAAAGATATGAAGCAGCATTTTCTTCATAAATTCGATGTGGAACACAGCTTTGCTTTTTAAGACTGATTTCTATTTTTTATGTAAAGTTTCTATTTTTTATGTATAATTATGGGATTCCTTAAACAGGCAGATTTAGGTGCAAAGCATCAAATCCCATCTCCAGTCACCATACAATTATGTCATTAAAAGTGAGATTGATCACAGATGAGTCAATAAGGAAACAATCGTCTCACTGCAAGGCCATCTTTACATAGGGATTCTAAGTTACGGACATTTAAATCACTAAGGGAGTATTTAGAAATGTTCTTTGTACATGTTCCTAACAAAAACATTGAAAATATTCAGGTGTGGCTGACCGCTGGCTATCTCCCAGAATTCATTCTCCAGTTCCTCTATAGTAACAGAATCATTGCTGGCTACATGGCACCAAATTCTGTCTATTTGGCTTTGGCAGGAAGTGACCTGTGTCTCTTCAGGTTTTGCTCTTAGAATAGTTAGCAGTGAGTTCCAGTGTCCTTACCCCACTTCCTTTCTTCTGAATGGGAGAGGAGAGCTGCAGCCGTCTTCTTGGAGCCAGAGATAAAAGTAACATTTTGAAGACAGCAGAGCTACTCTGCTAGTCCTATTGTTTACTTCTAGACTGTTAACATGAAAGAGTAAGAAAATTCTATCTTGTTTAATTTACTGTACTTGGCGTCTCTTTGTTAATGTAGCTTAGTCTACTCATTGTGCTTCTAATTCTTGTCATCTTTAGCACTTAAGACCCTTCACCAGTAGGTTCTAGAAAGATAACATGTTATTATATATTTACCAGGGTGCTCCTAAATCAAATAATTTTTTATAAACACATTTTATATGTGTTTATAAAAAAACAGCTACTGGAGATGCATGCATTAGCCATAAACACATTTCAGGAATAGATAAGATACATTTTATAGAAAGTTGATTTTCTATCAGTAAAGCACACAGTATTTACAGCCATCCAAAAACAGGGTTAATTTTAAAAAGTTAAATATTTAACTCTAGGAATAAATATTTAATAGGTAAACTCAATAATAATGGCTGAAATAAAGATATTTCTTCAGTAGCATTGTCTTTTTAATTTAATTTAATTTTTATTTTTTTTAAGGTAGGGTCTTGCTTTGCCGCCCAGGCTGGAGTGCAGTGGTGTGATAACAGCTCTCTGCAGCCTTGACTTCCTGGGCTCAAGTGATCCTCCCACCTCAGCCTCATGAGGAGCTAAGCCTACAGGTGTGCACCAACATGCCCAGCTAATTTTTAAGTTTTTTTTTTTTTTTGTAGAAATGGGGGTCTCCATATGTTGTCCAGGCTGGTCTTGAACTTCTGGGCTCAAGCAATCCTTCTATCTCAGCCTTGCAAAGTGTAGGGATTGAAGGAGTGAGCCACTATGCCTGGCCTTATTTCTAAGTTTCTAAATGATTCAAAGTCATTCCTGGGTCTTAAGCCAGCAAACAATGACTGTCGTGAGAAATACAGTTGATGCCTTGATTATCAAGTGGGAAAGATCAAAGGTGGTCAGGGAGGCTAGACCCCAATGACAGTGGCAATGACGGGTATATGAAGGTCTATCTGTCTCCATTTGTGAATCTGTTGATACCTCAAATGGTGATGGTCTGGCTCCCAGAACATTTACTTCATGACAGGGATATGTGTAAATATGCAGTAATTTTTACTGATTTCTTTTGAAGAATGAGCTTGTTAGAATATTAGATATTTCTTGAAGTAAAGTTTCAAATCCTAAAATAACAGAGATTTGAAAACTAAACTCCTGTGCTTTACAGCACACCTAGATTGGAACTTTTCCTTCCCATGAGGATAAAATATTAAAAGTATACCTCAAAATACATACATTTAATCTAGAAAAGTTGTACTTTAATAAAAGAAAAAAACAAATCTACAACACATATAGTTTCTTTTCCTACCTTCCATCTTCTGTTCATCAAAAGCTGATTCTAGTGGTGGGCCAAAGAGAGGAGCAAGGGCCGTAGTGTCATCCGGAGGCTTTTTGCTAAATCATACACATTGAGGCAAAATAGAGGGAAAAGGCTCAAAAATTATTGCTCGAAAAGATATACAAGCTTTTGCATATTTTTCTCAGTAAAACAAGCGTGTGTGTGTGTGCACTAGTGCATACATGCGTGCATGTGCATACAAGCTCCGTTAGGACTAGAAACTATTTTATAAGGATGTCAGATGTATTATGGGACAAAAGAACTGGTAGAAGGTGAGATCCTTAGTTCTCAATGGAGGGCTGAGGTGCTTATCCAATAGAAATAAGTTGAAGGAGAATAACTCTTTCAAAGCATCATGATTCTCTATACTTAGAAGAAATAACACTAGAGATGAGAGTTTATTGCAAAGCACCTTTCTCCCCAAGATCTCAAATACCATTTATATTTGATTTCGCCACATCTCTGTGCTGTGGTTAATGCAGTTTTTAATTAGTGAAAGTCAAGCATAAGGATATGAAATAAAAAGCTACCAAGAAGTTTCATCCTCCAATAGACTAGTTATAACCTCCTAATACCCCGATACAATAAATCTCAGAAGGAGAAATATTGAGAAATCAGGGGAACAGGAGGATAATAAGTTACACTGGTATCCCTTCTCTTAATTATCACTCCGGACTGATTCTTAAGAAAATGATGCATAATTATCTTCATTTCTTCTCCAAATCTGATTCCGCTTATTGATCCCAATGAGGTCTATGTATGTAGGGTAAGGGGTAAAGAGTGAAAAGGAGAGGGGAGAGGTTGGAGAAGGAGGATAAATATTGAAAATAATCCAGTTTATAAATAGAAATAGCAGTCTTTTCATAAAACAATGCCCATTTGTACAATACTTACCTAACCCACAGAGTACACTGTAAAATACAATGCTTTGCCAAAAACTAAAAGCAGAATGGAAAATTCCTTTGGTGTGTGGCAGGTGGAATGTATCATGAGATGGTATCCAACTAGACAGGCTTCTTTTCATAAGGTAACGTAATGATATTGTACATCAGAATTCCAGACACCAAAAGACCTCTTTAGAGAACTTTAGTGGCCCCATCAGGAAGGGGACTGCACATTTTATAGGCAGTTAGTTCAGATAAATGCAGAGTCTTTCCCTAAAGATCTCCCTTGGGCTGACTTATGAAAAATAATAACATATTTGGACTATGCTATGGACATTTGAACTGACATGTTTTAGTAGATCCTTTATTAATGGGAGCTGAGAGTTTAGCCCAAAGGAGATTTGCTTAATTGTTAAAAGTTCATGGGTGGGGGTGGGGAATAACACACAAAAGGGCCTGTCAGAGGGTGAGGGGTGGGAGGAGGGAGAGCATCGTGAAGAATAGCTAATGGATCCTGGGCTTAATATCTAGGTGATGGGATGGTCTGTGCAGCAGGCCTCCACGGCACAAGTTGACCTATGTAAACTGCACATCCTACACATGTACCTCTGAACTTAAAATAAACGTTGGAAATTAAAAAATAAAATAAAATAAAATAAAAGTTCATGATGGCTTGCATAAAACACAACTAATGTCTTTCACACTCACCTTATAAGTTCTGGAGTTGGTGTGGAACGCCTGGGTCTTGCCACTTCTTCACCTAATGCACAGGACAAAGGAACTATTTAGACCTATTTTTTACCATTCCCTGATATGTGTTATAACCTAAGTTTGGAAACACTTAGAGATTTACGTCTTATCAAAAAGCAACTCAAATGAAAACTTTACAAAACAAATCTCCCCTGGCAATGCAACAGCCATATATTAGGCATATGTAGTGGTGTTTTCTCTGGCATTTGTAAAGCCTCATTAACTAAAGAACTTCCGGTGACAAGCCATCACAGAGATTTGTATACTGCAATGCTTAGTGAAAGAGCATACCATTCTTGGAATGTCTGCTGCCTTGACTGGTTCTGCTTTCCAATTAAGAAAATACTAAGCCAGAACATATGTGTAGTACATGAATCCAGCATTCTCTGCCTGTTCTTTCCTTGAAATGCCAAGAAAATGTATCTTCAACTATGAACCATGAATTTAGAATGTCCTAGTATGTGTTGTGTGCAGCAGAGGAAAATTGAGCCCTATGTATATCATAACCTATATCACTTTGGTTGACTAACATTTTTATATCAAATAACAGAAGAATGGGTAAGTTGCTTCTACTTTCAGTTCCTTCTGCCCTCCTGTTCTCCCCACCCCCAGCAACAAATACATACTTGATTAAGTTCATTTCAAAAGTTAAATAATATAGCAAGAGGTGACAAATATAGACAGAAAATAGCAATTAAAAATATTTATTTTCAGAACTTAAATATTAATCACTCACAGGGGCCCTCTATCATTACAAGAATTCTTTGCTGTAAAAGTAAAAAATTAAAAATTAAGCCCAAGAATGTATAATTCATATGTATATATACTTCAAGATCCAAGGAACTATTCTTTCTTTTAAATCATACGCTATTTCTGGTAGCTAAGATATACTTACTGGATAAGTTCCTTTTAATTGCACCCTAGAATTAGAAATAGACACTATAAGGTTTAAGACCACATATATGTTATGTACAATATGTATTATTTCTCTCATTGCAATTAAACTGAACTCAAATAAATACAGATAGGGAAATGAAATTTTTCTCAGAACCACATTTAAGTTGGAAATTGCAGATACACACATAGAAATCAGTTTTTTATTTCATTCAAAGATTATAGAGAGGAAGGAAGGGTAAATCATAAGTCTTCTGAAAAAGAAAAACCCCTTACCTGGGTAGATTTGGTAAATCAAATTCAAATATTGAACAGTTCATTAAAAAAAACCTCTTGAACTCTAGCTGATAAGAATGTTTAGCATATGTTTGTTGATGTTCAAAAATTTCAGAATGTATTTAGGAGTAGTGCACGCTCCTTGTCAGTTGGGGTCCCCAGGTTGCTAATGGAAACAATCATCAGTTTACAAATGTGATTTTAAAAGGTATAGATGGCAAGAGTAAAAGGCAAGGGAAACTTGAACCATCTGCCATTAAGTGAACTGTTTTATTCAGAAAGCCAGGGAATTCCACCCTATGCACTCATTCTCCCAATGTCTTCCACTTGCCTGCCACCAGGCCCATCAGTCATGAATTGGGAGTAATGTCTTTAGCTCAAGGCATTGTGATATTATTGGAATACAAATAGCCCTGGCAGGAATAATCTGAGCAGGTCATCTCAGTTTTTATAATGCCTTAGCATAAACTTATTTAGATCGTAGAAAGATTGATTAGATAAAAAGTTTTGACTAAAAAACAGAAGTGGTGATAAGTTCTTTGTGTGGTATGCTACCAGAAAAGTAGATCACCAGGATGATTGCATCGTGGGGTAGAGCATGGCTTGGCATGCTTGCTGTAGGAGAATGACAGAGGCAGAGTTGAGAACAGGGAAAGCTGAAGTACATATAAGAAAGTATTCCAAGACTGGGCATGGTGGCTCACACCTGTAATCCCAGAACTTTGGGAAGCCAAGGCAGGAGTATCAACTGAGGTCAGGAGTTCGAGACCAGCCTGGCTAACATGGTGAAACCCTATTTCTACTAAAAATACAAAAAATTAGCCAGCTACTTGGCTTGAACCCAGGAGGCAGAGGTTGCAGTGAGCTGAGATCGCAACACTGCACTCTGGCTTGGGCAACAAGAGTGAAACTCACTCTCAAAAAAAAAAAAAAAAAAAAAAGTATTCCAAAAGACGAGACCATGAACACATTTGGTGGATGGTCACCAAACCCTTTTTTCCTACTTTCTAATTTTAGTGAAGGCTCAGTCTGGTGGTCACAGATATGTTTTCTTCTCTTAAAGTATAACATTAACAGCTTAGGATAAGATTTAGCACCTCTGTAATAGACCTATAAGAAGCTTCTTTCCCTTGTTCCTAAGGCTATGTAAAGATTTTCTGTCCCATTTTGAACTCATTTATGCTAGAGGAGCAGTTCCAATCTGAATGAAGTTCCATTCAATGCTTTCTCAATCTCTCAAAACCATAATTTCTGGCTTTTTTGGTCTAATAATGTGATCTGTTTCTCTCTACTAAGTGCGCCATGTACAGAATTACTACATTATTTATGCTTTCTAATAAATATGGCCACATATATCTGCTGGGGTCATTATGGAAGTTTGGATACAGGTTTGCTTTTGGAAAAGAAGGCTCTATAGACAGACATGATTAGATAACAGAAATAATTAGATAACAAATGTTCTTCTGAGTTATGAACCCTCAGATAGAATTTCATTAATAAGATCTGAAGGAAGAGATAGAGGGGATTTAGTTCCAAGCAGTGAATCACAAGATTGATAAATGGCATTGAGGGAACACAGCCTACCTAGTACTGTGAGGCCTGAAACCTTGGAGGTCCCAGAGGCTGTATAGAAGACCCTTTTGTCTCTCAGCCCTACTCCTTAAGTGTTAATATCCATGAAACCAAGAAAGGTACAAAGTTCCTTTTATAACCATCAATTCCCAGATTTGTCAATTCATTCAATAGGTATTCACAGTGGAAAGGCACCAAAGAAGAAGGCCCTGTAACATTTTTATTAAAAAGTCTTCATGAATGAATACCAGGTTAAGTGCAAGCAAGACGTGGCAGAAATTTTTAAGAAAACTCAGTTGTTTTGAATAGGAAGAACAAAGCTAATATCAATTTAGAAAAGAAAAAATGTTTGAAAGATCAGCAGCAAGTCAGCAACGACAGAAAACAAAGTCCTGCTGTCTGCTGGATGGGAGTAGTGATCTCTGATGAACTCAGTGTTGTTGCAGCAAGACATCTAGAAAAAGACCGAGATGATGACCATACAAACCACATTCAGGAGAAAAGACCACTGGATTCAAAAACCTCCCCTTTTCAAGTGACCGTATATTCCTTCTTTCAATGCTTGTTTGTTGTTACATGTATATTGTGAATACATTTCCTCACTTTGAATGAATGAATTCACTCTTTTCATAATCTGTGATGTCACTTAACAGCTGGGTTGGAATCATCCACAGACTAGCAGTCTCTGCAGATGCCATCTTTGAATGGCATTAGTTATGTAGTTTAGCAGAGAACCACCAACTGGTCACCTGGGGCAGGATATTTGCATAAAATAATAGTGGACTAATTGGATTGGCACAGGCCTAGGGATAGTTCAGAGAGCACTGTTTTCAGTTCCATTTCCTCTCTTAAGGGATTGACCAGGTAGATGGGGGTCATTTCAAACATGACAAAGACCCTTCTTTTTGTTGCTTTAAATTCATGATACTCTTCAACTTGAGAAAAATGACAGTTTTCACTTTGAACAATGCAAATTAATATTGGTCTACCCTCCCAAAGTTTGTCTTCCGAGATGAAATTTATTTAGAATTATGTGACAGCCTAGGAATATTGACCTGAAAGTGTGTCTCCCTCTCCCAAGATGGAAATCATAATGTTGTATCAGCATATTTTGATCACTGTAAGTTATGGTCCAGGGAGATATTTTGAATTCAGGCTTAAAAGCAATGATGGCTTAAAAAATGTGTCCTTACATTCTTAATAGTTTTATTACTCATTATCTCTTTGCTATCAACTTGTATGGTACTTTCTGGTGACTCTCTAGGCCTTTTATGCACACACACACACACCCACACACACTCCATATATTTTCCAAATTTAGTACTAGGAGTTGGGATTCCCATGTATTAATTCAGTTCATATGGGAAAGTGCTCTGACAATTCTAAAATATGCCCCTGATACTTAAGAGGGTCAGAGGCTTTCAACCAGCAAACCTATTTCATCTGCCTCATTCACACTGGGTTATCATAAATTTAATGGGAAACCAACCTGGCCACCTTGCCTTGGCAGCAATTTTCTCTATACATGTTTAAGGTAAAAATGTTGAGAGTTCTTACCGGGCTGCGCCTCTGTGATCAGCAAAAAGGAAGAGAGAACAGACACCTAGTCAGAGAACGATGGATCAGTCAACAGGCTTGGGTAATAGAAGACTTCATAAATAGCTACAGCTAACCAAACATACCCTCCAGATAATCTGGCCAAAGAAAGACAGGCAGTTCTAGCGTTTAAAGCTTATTTAAACCACAGGAGGCTTTGGAGAACCTTAAAGAGAGGCTATTAGTTGTACAATACAGCTTTGCTAATATGGACATATAAGTTTTAGTTATGTGCACATAAGAATAAGGTAGACACGTACAAAAACTTTACTGACAGTGTTTAATGTCTTGCCAGAGAAGTTTCTCTCTAGATAGTTTGGGGAGAGGGCACTTAGAAAATAGAGATAATAGGCCTGGTGCGGTGGCTCACGCCTATAATCCCAGCACTTTGGGAGGCCGAGGTGGGTGGATCACAAGGTCAAGAGATCGAGACCATCCTGGTCAACATGGTGAAAACCCGTATCTACTAAAAAAATGCAAAAATTAGCTGGGCATGGTGGTGCACGCCTGTAGTCCCAGCTACTTGGGAGGCTGAGGCAGGAGAATTGCTTGAACCCAGGAGGCGGAGGTTGCGGTGAGCCGAGATCGCGCCATTGCACTCCAGCCTGGGTAACAAGAGCAAAACTCCGTCACCCCCCCCAAAAAATAGAGATAATACAAAGCAAACTTTCCCTACAGAGAAGGGTGTTAGCAAATATAGACAATCATGGATTTCCCACATAGTTAGAGTGCAAAAAAAGCTTACGAAAAACCAGAGGCAGGATTTAGACAGCCCCTTTCCTTGTCTGGATTTTTTCTTTGGTGTTCTATGGAAGGTATGCTTATGAGGATTTTTTTTTTTTAATGTTGAGTGTTCTTGGCCGGATTTTGGGCAGCCTCTACCAATATGATGTAAATGATGAGAATGTGATGGGAAAGACGAGGAGCCCCTGACAAACACAGTTGGGAATGACAAAAACTGTCCAGCAGCAGCAGAACGCCGGTGGACCAGGTGACCTTAGAAAACACGACAAGCAGATGTATGACTTCTTTCTTTTGCTTTTCAAACATTGATTGTGGCTGCTATCAATTTACTCCAACAACCTCTGATAGCTCTGCCTCTTTAGGAGCTTTCTGGTGTAACATGAGTGACTAGGATGTGACTGGGCAAAGAGGTGTTGTTCAGTTTTCCTTTCAATACGTGGGCTAATGCATGGATTCGCCGGAGGCAACCTCCCGAAATCAAAACTGGGAGCACAAACACAAAGAGAGCTAGGAGTTTGTTCAAATGTAGAGATGGTCTTTCTAGAACATAGATAGGAAGCAAAAACTTATAGCTTTTTACATCTAGTAGGCCTCCATGGATATCTAGTCCAACTGGCTAAATGCTATAGAGAGGAAGGTGAGGTTCTGAGGTACACAGCTAGTAAACAGGTAGAACCAGAGACAGAATTTAGATCTCTGATTTCTCATTTTCTCATTCTTTCTATGATGCCAAGCATGGCATTGTTGAAGGACTCCAAAAGCAGAGAGCCATTGTGGTTAACACCTGGGAATGGTTATTTTTCAGATCAGTTTGTAAGTAGCATTGACATATTACTCT